TTAATTTTTGGTAAAGGATAAAGATCATTTTAATAAATTAAGAAGATTGTGAAAGAATAATGGAATTTGGGTTGATTGGAAATATTAAAAAAGTGAATTTTACAAAGATAGTATTAAATATTTAGGTTACTTAATAAGTGACAAGAGAATACTGCCAATCAAAGGAAAGATTCATCCGATAGGTACATGACTAAACCTAAGAATAAGGATGAATAGCATTCTTGGTTAGGTCTTATGAATTATTATTCGAGATTTATAGAAAGTTTTTCTAAATTGGCATCTTGCTTAAAAGAGGTAAAAAATTTTATTGGTGTATAAATGAAAGATCTAGTTTTTGTGAAATTAGAGAAAGATTATGCAATGTACCAGTTCTTGCTCATTATGATAGAAGTAAAAATTTGTTTATTTCAACTGATGCTTCTAATAAGGGCATGGGTGCAGTTTTGTTTCAAGTTGAAGAAGATGGTCATGAAAGGCCAATTGAATTTATGCCCAAAGCATGGGCTGGTGCTGAAAAAAGATATTCTATTATTTTGAAAGAAGGATTATCTGTTGTTTTGGCTGTTAAGAAATGGAGAGAATATGTAGTGGAGATGAAATTTAAAATTTTTACGGATCATAAACCTCTGGTAAATTTGTTTGGATCAGATCCGGTTAAGCTTTACAATATGTCTCCAAGGTTACAGAAATGGGCTTTTTGTTTAGCCGGATTTGATTTTGATATTAATTATAGGAGGGGTAAAGATCAAATTATTTCTGGTGGTTTATCAAGGTTAATTAAGGAAGATGTAATTTGTTTTTTTAAAGTTGATAATCATGAGAATGATGTAATAATAATTAAATTTAGAGTTGATAAGAAAAGAAACTTTGATAGATCAGAATTAATCAGAGTTAAGAAATTTGTTTTGAATGAAGGTGGAGACTATTCGCAGATTAAAGTATATAAGGCTTTGGGAAAGTTGTTGAAAGGGAGAACAAATTGTTGTTCCTCAAAGTCTAAGAAAAGATTTTCTTAAAGTGCTACATGAGGGTCATATTGGGTTGCTTAGGATGTTAGATTTGGTGGCCTGGAGTGAATAAAGATATTAAAGAAATGGTTTTTAGGTGTAACATGTGTATGGTTAATGCGCCTAAATTACCGAAAGTTAAATAAAATTATTGGGTACAACCGAACAAGCCATGGTACCGAGTATATGTAAATTTTTTTGGTCCGATTAAAAAATTTTACGGATTATGATTGATGGGTACTCTTGCTGGCTGGAGATTATTAAGGTTAAGAACATTAATTCGTTTACCGCTATTATGGTTTCAAATAATATATTTTCAAGATTTTGTGATCCAGTAGAGTTGATATCCGACAATGAACCATCTTTTAGCTCTTTTGATTTTAAAAACTTTTTAATAAAAAAAGGTATAACACATATTTGTACTCTGCATACCATCCTTCTTCAAATGGTATGGCAGAAAGAGCGGTACGCTCAGCAAAAAATATGATTCATAAATTAGGTGGCTGGGATGATAAGTTTAGATGTTTTATTAAATTATCGTAATACTACACATTCGGTAACTAAATCATCCCCAGCTTTATATTATTCGGAAGGGAATTGAGATGGAAGTGGAGTTTTTTAAAAGACAATGACTGTGATTGTAGACCTAAATTGAAAAGAATAAATTTTAGAGAGTTAACTTTAGGCAACTCTGTGTTAGTAAAAGTGGGTAACAATCAAGAGTGGCGTGTGGGAATCGTCAGTGGGAGAATTAGTAATGTCATATGGGAGATTCAGATAGATAATAAAATAATGATTGTTTACATAGATCTTAGAGGTTTTTAATTGAATTTTCATTTATTCACTTAATATTCATTAAATTTTCAGTTAGATATTTTTTTGTATTTTGCATATCAACAATATATTTGTTTTGTTGTTCAAATATGTATAAAGTATTATATATATATTTTTTAATTTTTTAATATATATATAGTGTCCTCCTAGTTCCCTATTGTGTTAACATAATGATATACTATTTTCTATATATTATATACGATGCAATATACGTTTTGTCCCAAGATATATAGCCCTTCTAGTTCTCTATTTTATTAACATAATGATATACTCTTCCCTATATATATATTAAGTCCAATGTATTTTTTTAAATACTTGATCAACTTATAGATATAATTTTCCCAATATATATAGCCCTCATAGTTCCTTATTTTATTAACATAATGATGTACTATTTCCTATATATATTATGTCTATTGTATATTTTTTTGAAAATATATAGACAGTACTCCTAATTCCCATCAATTTAATGATATAATTTTCCCAATTTATATATTCCTCTATTTTATAAAAATTATTATGTACCCCTACTTTTTGTAATCATGATTGTATATAAAAATTAAAATACAAGATATTGTTAACATGATATATTATTTCCTTTTGTAGTATTAAATTAAAATATGTTAATATTGATTGCATTTAAAAAATGGAGAAATATTTCCCTTGGACATACATGATAAGGATTCTCTATAATTTTTTTTATAGTTCCCTACTTTATTTTTACTTTCTCAAAGATCGATAAAGCATCATTTTGTTTGTACTTTTGATTGTATTATCCTTACTTAAGATATCTCTCGATTGCCAAGCAAGTTCTTTCCCTACTTTCCCCATTTTTTATATTATTATTTTTCAAGATTAATTCCCATTACATTTCTTCCCCAATACTATTTTTCTCTGATTATTTTTTTTGGAAGTGTTGCATGTTACATGTTTGTAACTTTATATTTTAATTACTTTTTTATTTTAGTAGATTTAAGGCGATCATTTTTTTAGTAACGATATATTATATTGTAATAATATATTATATGTTGTAAATTGGATAACGTGATTTTATATGTTATACAATTTTAGATAATGGATTTACTTTGTATATAAAAAATATATTAGTTTTTATCAGTTAACTTTTGTAAATAAAGAATCGTTTTAAAATCTTATATTTAAAAATTCTTTATATTGAGATAAATCCCGACGAGTTCCTATAAATTCTAACGTACAAATCAAGCTAGCATCCCCGCTTGTCAACAATGTTTATTCAAAGAAATTACTTAATTATCTACTATTTGATTTAATAGTCCTAACTTAGTAGCATCCAATATCGCACACGCCTTTTTAAATTTTTTAAATAATATACTCTATTTAAAATTTTAACAAAAAAAATTATAGTCCTAACTTAGTAGCATTTAATATAGCACACCTTTTCCATTATTAAAAAATTAAAGAATTGTGAAAATTTTCACAAGAAAAAAATATGGAATTCTTAAAACTTTTAAGTAATGAAGCTTTGAATTATTATTACGTCAAAAAATTTCCACCAATATCCAAACAATCGCATATTTATTATTTTTTTTATAAAAATTTTTTTTTTAAATATTAAAAACAAATAAAACAAAATATTTTTTTAAAAAAAATATTAAAAATTTCCCCGAGTTTCATTTAGTTAACGCTTTAAATATAAAAACAAATTTGGGATAATGTATCCTACATCAATCTAAGATATTGAATGATATATCAGAATCATGGTGAAGTTTTGGCCAACTCCAAAATGATTGAAAATGAAAATATTCAATTTCCACTCCCAAAAAGTTAGCAAATTTCAGCTTAATTTTGCCAAATTTTTTTGTGGCTGACGATGCCTATCCTTTAAAGTCTTTGTTTTAAAGTCTTATAAAAGTATAGTATAATATTAACTAATGTACACAATTTATACCGTATATTAAACTATTCTTTGGGTAGTTTTAGCTATTAAATAATGGTCAGTTTTTATTATCAAAAAATTAACATTTTCCTCTTAAAAACTTATTAATAATTTGTTTTTCTATATTTTATATTATATAGGTAATTTGACCCCAAAAGGAATTTTATAATTATAGAATTTCACGTATACGCATACAAATGGAATGTAGTTTCGCTATTTTTGACAACTAAATAGAGAATCCTTGATAGATCAATGGACCAAATTATCAAATTCACATATTGTATTTTTGTAATTATCATTGTTTATATTTTTGTTCAAAAGTTTTAATTATAATATGGCCAATATTTAATTGGCACAAATTAAAAAATAGAATATAATATTAAATTATGATATTACAAAGAAATAAATGCTTGTAGTTGTAGAATAAGCTGCCAGATTTGGGTGGCTTCTTTATTATACAACGCTTACCATCAATACTACCCATACAATTATAAAAGATTCCATTTTCTCTCATACTCCAAGGATATCCTCTTAAAATCTGCAAGAGTAGGAGGTGATATGTATTCTCACTAAAGACTGCCATATAGCCTGGCATGTAGTCACAATAATTTTTTGGATTACTGAAACCCTTATTTTGAAAAAATAAGATAAATTGGGATAGCTACATTCAGTAACTAAATATCTAAATAAAAACTTCAAGTTATAAAAAATAATTATAGATAGAAAAAATAAATATTTGTCATTCGTGCATAATTATGGAATTTGCCGTTCAATAGGAGTTTTAGAAAAGGATGCAAAACTCACCCTCTTTCCTTTTATTAGTATAAATGTTGTTTCATTTTCTCTTCATTATAATCATTTTGTAAATAAATAATATTTAATTAAAACCATTTAATTAATATAAATTCGTTTGCGAATTACCATATGTTAATTTTATCCTATGAATGAAATTCCGCTAACTTTGAATGAAAGGTTATTCTGTGTTAAGAGTAAGCGCGATCGCTTAAGCAATGTGAAATTAATCGCTAGCAAAATCACAGCTGATTCACGATTATACTTTTTGAAATATACGTAAACAACTGTGGCGATTATCATCGGGCCCAGTATTATTTATTAAACCTATTATTAGCTTGGCAAAAATTTTTCGCATTGCTTAAGCGAGTCGCGTTTACTATAAATGTAAGCCTTACTATTAACCCACTTTTCACATAATTTCTTTAAATATTATAATGGCGTAGATTTACCAAATTGCAATGATCAAAGGTGTGTTTTAGCATCAAATCGTACATGGTATTCTGTATAATAGGAAACAACAATTTTTCGCGTTTTGAAAGATAATGAAGCTTGCAATCGTTTAGTATAGAACCGATTCTAAAAGTTAATGAAAGGGAAAATTATTTTATAAATAAAAAAGAATTCGCTAATATTTGATCCATAAAAGATGAAATTTAATTAAATCCGCATTAATATTTAGGTTTATTACCTCCCCATAATCTTTTGCAAAGCAATTTTATATTTATTTATCTATTTTTTTATTGTAAATAATATGTTATATACAATTTTAGTATTGTTTAAAAAAAATATTAAACCACCCATTTCCACAAGCGATTTTAAATAATTACTAATAATTTAAAATATTTAATAAATTCTTTGTTCCTCTATTATAAAAATAAATTTCTGATTTTTTTTCATATAGAATAGTCTGAAATTATTACTCTGCTAAATATAAAGCTATATTTTTCCTTAAATCATACCCAATTGACAGCAACATCAAAGAGGAAAAAACTTACTCCTTAATTATATCCAATCGTTCGACGAGAGTAGTAATTTTTGCGGAGGCCATTTCATTTTCGTATTTCTTGGGATATTTATAGTTTTCTAGATAACGAATAAAATTTTTGCATCTATCCGTTATCAAAATCTTGAATTTAGCGTAAAACCGAACGAAGGCGTCGTCCGAATTAAAAGTATCTTTGAAAATGGGCTTCAAGTCATTTGGGTTAAAGAAAATATAAAAATAAATGTAGTCATCAGATATAAATTAAACTTACAGGAATAATGACGTATAGGGGTGAAAGAAACTGGGACTAATTGAATAATTTTTTTGTTAAATTAATCTTAATACCTATATTATTATATATTTTGATAAATAAAATTATATCACTCGAATATACCCATCTTCTCCATCAAACTTTAATAAGACATAATATTTTAAAATTTTCAATTTAAATGCAAAAATAAAAAAAGACGCAAAAAGGCCCGTGAATTCAATTATCCATCATTTAGCCCAAGTAGCCCCTTCCCCACTATATATTAAAACTAAAAAAAAATCCAGATAGATTTCGCGCATTTTATTTATCAAATGATTAGGGCGGTAGTTATAATTAAATATTGGATCAAGGGCGATATTTAAATCCGATACAATTATTATCATTGTTTTTGGTTATATATGATCGTATATTATAATTATATACAATAATTTTTATGCAATGTCTAATAAAAATAGAATTATTTTAAAAGAAAGAGTAACTAATAATGAAATATTTGTTTATTATATTATTTGCAACAAAAATTTTTAAATATAATTAAATCTTAGGGAATAAAAATAAGCACTTAATCCTTCTTGATAACGTACCAAAAATCACCTGGTCCATGAAAAAAGGAAAATTTCAAAGTGCTAGATTTGCCCATTTAGCAGTTTAATTATTTTTTTTGCAATTGATTTATTTATGACAATAATTTAAAAATATATAACTATCGGATCCGTAAATATTTTGTGGATGTTCCCGTTCTAAATCGCTAAAAATTAGGAATATCGCTTATATCTCTTAGAAATTTTTTAAAGTAAATTTAAAATTAATAGATGATAGTGAAGTAAACATTTGTATTTAAATTGAGTTTTTAAACAATCGTTAAAAATGAGGGAAATATCATCCAGATTCCCAATTTTTATCGATTTTTGATCTAGCGATTAAGAGCCTATCCTAAAATTTGGTAGTTTGAAAAATATATTAAAATGTAAATTCCTTATTTGATAATAAGAATTGTTAAAACTTCATAATTTATCCTGATTATAATTAAATGCATCATATTACATAAATACTAACATCCGAATTATAGAAATAAGACTTATCCGAGTCATTACAGCTGTTAAGATGATCTTCAGTTGTTGTTACAATATCGGCATTTGTTACATCAATCGCTTTAAATGCGTCATCAATTATTTTGAAGACCCTACTTTTGATTATGTTCAATATTTTGTTAGCTTGCTTCCAACTTTTGGCAAGGTATATAGGAGAATCCTTATAGCTCGTCTAATTATTTATGTAAATATAAATATATATTTTTAAATATCCACCCTTGTGGGATTGTAATTTCATTACAAAAATCACAAATAAATATAACAAATTTAGAATATTAATTCATTCCACTATTTAAAATGTCTTTTTTTTAAAAAAATTGATCTTAAATCCAATCGATTTTCTTGTTTTTTTTAATTATAAACTTTAGTTAGGTAAGATTAAAAATTAGGGTCATTCATAAAATAAGATTTTCATTGAATTGATATTTTGAGTCAAATTTTATATAAAAACGAAGGTACACGTAACTAAAGCTATGTTCAAATTTTAGTAACCTAGCTCTTATACTTTTGGAGATATCAAGGGTCAAAGTATAAAAAAGACCTATTTTTATGGTTAATGATTGTCATTCTATTATAGATCCACCTAAAACTACAGAATTATCATTTAATTTTTTCAAAATATTTCCAATTTTTCGTTAATGTGGCTGCCCAATTAACCTCATTTTAAAGTTTGAAATCCTTTAAAAAATAATGAGCTTTCTGATTTTTTTAAAAATTTAAGAAAATATCACTAAGACCAATCAATATCTGTATTTAAAAAAATGCAACATTTCCGCATTCATTATAATAAATCGTTTTAATATTATTTAAAATGTTTTTGTATTTATTCTGATATATTAAAGAATCTAAAAGACATAATATTTATGCAATATTTAATTTTCATTTTTCAAACCATCCAACCTCAAAATTTAATTTAGCATAAATATCTGTTACAGATTCTTTATTATTATAAAAATATTATAATACATGTTGTGATTTGTTAAATTATCTAATTATTTTGTCGCTATAATTGTTTTATTTAACACAATAAAATTTTGGTCATTTTATTTTATAAATATCGAGTAATATTTTATTTTTGGGTATAATTATATTTGGTTAAAGTTAGCCACTGGTTTTCCCGGTGTAAAAAAATGGATTGGGAATTTCAATTGGAATAGCAATATTAAAAAGTTATAAATTATTTATTTAATTATATATGTTTTAGATGGTTAACATGACAACAGGAATTTCAATTTATTTATAAAACTAACATCAATACCAACAGATTACCGATTTAACATAGACATCTAAAATCAGCTCTTGAAGTAAATATATATATATGTGCGATCATCGGGTATGGACTTTCTCTTTGCCCAACTCTTTTTATCATAACCTATAGACATTTAAATCACAGCTCATCGGACTATTGTGCGTACAAGTACGTGCGGCCTGCCCACAAAGATTTAAAGGCTCCTCATATAACTTCCCCTTATTTTAATATCAAGTTTTAGGAAATAACACCTAGCGTAGCTCTGCCGTATCCAGTAGAGGAGGTTTTTATCACGCATCACGTAAAATATATAAATGATTAATTTTTGTTTTTTTACTAGAGGTTTATAAAAACAAAAATATAGTTTTTTGTAAAAGAAGTTGTATTTTAAAATGTATAATATCATTAGTATTGTGAAATTATTAACTTAGAAATTTCAAAAAGGTAATTAAAAAATATATATTGCTTTGATTAATTAAATTATATTACAAAGCTGTTAAAGTTTCAAGATACAAAAATGTGGCATCTATATCTAGATACACTTTTATAAAAAGTATCTGTATCTAGATATTATTTTAGAGGTATCTGTACTGTTTTTAGATAAATTTTGATATAATTTCATTTTACGTTTTTTCATAATAAAATAATATCTGAATTAAATTCATTTAATAAAGTCCAAGTTTATTATGTGCCTTTTTTGATCGATTCAACATGGAATGGCCCAAAAATTTTAAATATAATTATAAATATTTATAAGTTACATAATACTGAGGATTAACGCTCCTTTTTAAAAGTAGATAGCTCCTGTTCCTACCTTCTCAAAAGGAGCTAGCTCCCGTTCCAAGTAATGGAGCACCACTCGATAGCTGCCCCTTTGATTTTCATTTTTTTTAGAAAGTAACAAAACAAAATCATATTTTTTTATCAAAAAAGTTTTCTTTATATAAAATAATATATCAAAATATCTCTAGTCTTTTATTATCTTTTAAAAGTAATAAATTTTAGCAAACAACCACACTTCTTCACTAAAACCTGTTTAGCAATACTTAACAGGCGTTCAACACGAACACTAGAGGGAAGTGGGGTATTGTATTTTATAATAATATTTTTTAATTCAGGAAATTTAACAAAAATAGTAATTTTGATATCATCATTTAAAGATGATCAATTTCATGGAATCGAAAAAAATCTTCCAAATCATTGCAGGGTTCCCGTGAACTAGTAGTTATTTTTGCATCAGAAATTTGTTTTCTTAAAAAATTAATTTATTTGTATTTTAGTTCCATATTTTGTGCCCATTTTATTCATTCCCAATTTAATTTGAATGCAGGATAGAGCAGCAATAATATTTTCATCATTATAAACATTTGAATATCTGCAATATAGCTATTTAAAAAAATAATATATTTTTTATTTCGATTTCCTCTTCTATGATGTCTGATAATATCAAAAACTATTTTATCATATATATATATAAAATGAATATTAATATAACTTACAAGATTTTCCAAGAAATTTTCAATATAAAAAGAAATAAAAATTTGATATAAAATTTCATTTTTATTGAATTTAAATTAATAAATTAAATAAATTTATTAATATTAAAAAAATAATTTTATTTATACATTAAATTTAAAAGAGCGGAGTGGCGCTCCTCCACTCCAGCCCTAAAAGGAGCTAATTCCCGTTCTCGCTCCTGATTTTTAAAAGGAGGGTTATCCAGGTGTTTTTGAAAAAGTGCAGCGCTGCTCCTTAACAACTCTGATACTGTGAAAATAATTAAGAAAACTATTACTTTTGTGGTTCTTTCTCCTATTATTATAAATTAATAAGATAAAAGGAACATAAAAATTAGTTATCTTTTTTAAAAAAATGGAAGCATCAAAACACATTTTAAATATTGCATGTTATCGTGTGAAAATGAATTGTCATGTGATGAAATTATTAATAATCATGGGTGCTAATTCTAGTTTTTTTTACTAAATATAATGGGCGTTAGTTCAAGTCACAACCATTAATACTTTGACCTAAATATCTCCAAAAAAATAGTAGCTAGGACGTCAAAATTTAAATACTGTTTAGTTAAATATATATTAATTTGTATATGATCAATAATATGTGTAGTGGGTGAAAAAATAAACAGGTGTAATAAAATTTTAATTAGGACAATTACATTAAATATATTAATATTACTTTGGAACGTAAAAATCTCATGTCTTTAGATATTTGGTCAAACATACTAATACAGCTTTCATAGCCCAATGGCAAACTCTCTGTTTCAATCAATCGCTAAAATATTATTAAAAAATTAGGTGTTTCTGTTATAATTATAATTGCTAGTGAATCACATCACAAAAACTTTAAAAAAAGTTTATAATTATCTAAATTTCTTATTTAAGAGACAACAATTAAATTAGAAGATTATAAGCCTTTTTTAATATCTACATTAGAAATTTGCAATAGGTGCTAATCCACTCATCTTACTTTGTGTAAGCAGGATAAAAAAAAATTTTTAAATGAATGGATGGGTTTTAAATATTCATGGGCAAGAGGCAGGCTTATATTTTTTAAATGTAAAGCATATTTTATAAGCCTAAGTAAAAAATATATTAAAATAATAAAAGCATGTAATCAATCAAAATTTTTAAACCAAATAATGATTGGATAATTCCCCTTGCAAAGGGTGGACAGGCATGTTAAAACCTGCCAACCTACAATCTATACCAAGTATGGTGTATATATATATATGATTTATACTTCTTGCATGTTATCAACTCGTTCAAAAACCGCCAATATTTTATCAATGTGATCCAATAAATCTTGGTACTTTTTCTAAATAAGAAATGATATATAAATATTATGAATTATCAAATGATTCAGAAATTTTCCTTTTCTATTATTCACCTTAATGACTGATGCCAGCTCTAGGGTAGTCTTATTGAAAAATTATTTGTTATTCATAATCAAGCTGAGCTAAAACGATATAAATTGTGTAAAAATATTTTGGGCTAAAAACTTTTTAAAAATCTTAGGGCTAGTTAGAGTCAATTTCTAGTTTGCAACACAATCAATAATATATTAATATAACAATTATCAGTAATGTAAACAATGGGGAGGGATGGGGCATCACAAATTTGCCTGTTCTTGTAAATATTGTTTTATCCCCCAACCCCCTCTCTCCAAAAAATGTATACAATATATCATTATGAGTAAGAATTTGAAGGAAAATTTAGTAAGTTACTTTTTAAAATAATGACTATAATTCAAAAAATTTCTAATTTTTAAAAAAGTGAAAACTCAAAATTGTTTTTATAAAAAATTAATATAGCCAAAGGCCTATAATAAGTGGACATAAAGATCTCCAATAAAATTTATGGGGAAAAAAATTATCTAATAGTGCCCCCCCCCTGATACTCCTATGAGTTATTATTTATAAAATATCTGATTCACTTTATAAATTTTTAATATACCTTGTCCAATTTAATAGATTCACAATCATGATGTAATGCATTAATGATCATATTAACTTGAGAATAATCTAATTTAATGTTTTGAGCATCTATGCAAATTTTTTCAAATTCTTTTTTAATTGGCTCAAATGTTTGAGTTTTCATATTATGAATCATATAAGAATATTCTCTAAAATCATATACATTAAATTTGTAAGGCTAATAAATTACTTGTAAGGATTTAACAAAGATGATAAATTAATTTTTGGCAATATTAACATTGACTTATAAAACTATAAATGAAGTTAATAGATATGCTAATAATTTTACCTCCATTGGAGTATCATAATGGTTTTTTGGAATATCATTATTTATAATAAAATCATTTAACATTAAACTATTTTTTGATAATAAATTTTCCATAAAATTTACATTTGAATTAGCAAAATCCTAGAATATTTATTAAATTGTAGTTTGATATCTTAATTTTACCTTTTTTATGGGTCTACCAATAGAAATTTTATTTAAGAAAAAGTATGTGTCAATATCCTGCGATTTTAAAGGTGCGATGCCTTGCTTATTACCCCCTAAATGTTCCCAATATGATAAATTTTGAGATATTTTAAGATTTTCCACATCATTATCCCTTAGATCTTGACTAACTTTGTTCATCTTATATCTAGAGAAAATACAAACTTACCTTTAAATTAGCACGACATTTGGCCTAATTCTTTAAATAAATATTTTTAATATAGAGAAAATGGAAATAGTTATTACTTATTACTCTTATTAATAATTTTTGAAATAAAAAGCTCCTTCAATTTTTAAATTAGCATTTAAATATACATTATCTTAGAGCTTATATAATATTATTAATAATAAAGGTTATTATATAAAATGATATATATTTTGAATTATTCTTAAATATAAATACTAATTTTATCAATTTATTTTTATCTAAAAAATATAATATTTGCTAAAAAATCTAGATTATAGCAATTATTTTTATTCGATTGTAAATTTATAAAATGAAAAACTTTTATTAAGTACACAAATAATACACAAATTAAGTTAAATGGTTTCTGTTCTTTCAGGAAAGGTTATTTTTAATTCTTTAATTTTAACAGTATTTCTGATATATTTTATGCTAGGCAAACCTTTCACTTAATTCTTTACTAGTTCCCAATATAAAATCTGCTGTCATGTGGATTAAATTATAAAATTGCAAAATGTATACGATTTTCTAAACTGTTCTTCCATGTTTTAATCCGGCTTAACTAGGCGGGGTTTTTAGTATAGCGAAATATCGCGCATGCATTATAGTAAATGTATTACCGCGAATGCATCATGGCAAATATATTAAAACGAAGACATTACAGCGAATACATTACCGCATACAAATTATCGCTAATGCATCATAGCATATGTATTAGCGCGAATGCATTATCGTGAATGTATTATCGCGAATGCAATAACGCGAAAGCATTATCGTGTATGTATTATCGCGAATGCATTATTGCGAATGTATCATCGCGAATGCATTATTGCGAATGTATCATCGCGAATGCAATATCGCGAATGTATGCCTATTTTTATTTAACTTTTTTTATTAATCCCGTGAATAACTAAAGATTTTATGAAATTTTAAGATTTATGACTATTTAGCAGAATTTTTAATTTTATTCATTTCACGTGATTTTTATAGAATCTTTGGTCACTTCCTTCGCGCGGGAGAGAATTTTATTTAGCGGCACTTATGGTATATCTAATGGTAATACAAACCTTACACTTACTATATTTATTGCAGCAGCATATCACAAAAATTATGTTAAAATTGCAAATTACCCTAATTGTACAGTTTTGAAGATATTATATGATATGAATTTGAGTTAAATTATTGCATTTCTGAATTATATTTTAGACACAGAATGTATGAATAATAATGAATAAAAATAAAGTAAACATAATGGTTGATATAATTAATATAGAGTATTAAAATTCTTTGCTACTTATTCATTTACTTTCTAATAAGGAGTTCATCATTAATGTTTTTATATTTTAAAAATATCGGAAACCATAAATTTGTTACCTTTTGGTAAAATTCCACCGGATCTTTATTTCTCTAAGGAAATTCTTTAGACTATCTTATTATATTGTAACTCATTTAGCAAGTTTAGACCTTTTCAAAAAACCAGAGAACCAGAACCAGCCGAATTGACGTTTATATATTTATTTAACGTAGCGTTTTTAAATTTTAATAACTCTAAAACACGTCACATGCTATTTAAAAAATTTCGTATTTTAAAAATATATGAAATTTAATCCTTAATTTTTTTAATAATTAGATTAAGTCGTTTTTTTAGAAAATTAAAAATACTAATATTTGACAAAATAAAGACCCTCATTTATTTTTATATATTTAAAAATGAGGCTAGACGTGTTCCCATTATGTTGATCTATAACTGGACACTAGCCTTTTTTCAAATTTTTTTCGTAATTATAAATTATAATGCAAAACACAAAGCATATTTTGACATCCATAAAATTATTAAAATAATAGATATAATTAATGTAATTAATCTATCCTTTTTTTTCTTGTATAACACCTAACAATAATCGCCAATTTAATTATTTATTGCGAAATTAAGGGCCATATTTTACCAATCTTTTTTTTAAAGTTTTTAAGATTCAAAAGGATTGGCCTATTACTTGATAATTATTCGGTATATGGAATCCGTATTTGAGGTCTCTTTAAAGCTTGTTGAACTGAACGAATAAAAATTAATATGGTTGGAGTTAGGAATCTTCATTACAATGGATTCATATAGATTTGTCGATATCTCCTAGATAATCATACTGTGAGTATCGATGGATGTTTTCGCTATACGCTTAATTTCGTTAACAATACTCGTGACCCCATTTGAGCACAATCCGTAATATGATTATGCTCGAATTTATTTGGAATTTTTTCATTATTTCGTCACGTGAGCTTGTCCATACACATGTGAGTATCTCTCTCTACACAAGGTAGTGGCACTTTTTTGTCAAGTCTATAAAAAGTTTCATAGATCTATTTTAAAAAGTCCAATACTAAATACTTTAAATGTCAAAATTATACTATTTATGATTTAAATACTAAATATTAATGCAATTATAATTAATGTTTTTCAAAGTAAAATATGTTCTTACTTGTAGCGAGTTCAATATATTTCCCCCCTTTTTTTTACAATAAAACAGAAATGTATGACTGAATTTTTTAAAATAAAATATAAAAACGCAATAATCATTTTATTTATTTTTTCCTCTATATATATATATCTATTTAATTAATGCATAATAATAAACCAAAAAAAATAATAATTTTTTCTAATTTTAAAAATAGCATTTTTATTATAATATATATCACAAGAATGAATGCGCAAAAAAAAAAATATTAATCACTAATAAAAATTGAAAGAATGAATGCGCAAAAAAATCAAAAAAAATATTAATACCCATTTATTATACAAAGTGACTCCTCGCTAACACGATACACATAACACGCCCCCACTAATTGAAACCCAACTTCGCATTTCACCTCTCACCCGGCATAATTCTCGTTCCTTTATGGTGTTTTCACGAATTTATATGGTGGTTAGTTCCTTGAATTTTTTCCCTTTGTGTGTTGCTATTGTCGATTTACCGTAGAAATTATCTTAGTTCGACCTGGCTTCATTTACCATTTGTACAATCCATTAACTATTTTGACCCATCAACCATTATATGGTTGATTCCCTTATTATTATTATTATCAATCACCCCACTATTTTTATTATTATTATCAATCACCTTAGTATTGAGCTACCCCACCTCTGGCTTAACTGCCCCCTTCAATTTTTCCCGGATATATTTCGCACCATACTAAAATGAATATTTCTTTACCATGAATTTTTGATCAAGTATATTCCCCTATTCATACTCCCGATCGTAACCTCCCGGGTTCCACGCCCCTCTTCAAATGATCCTGATGCCGTAATCCCTCTCTTCCGTCGGTGAATTTCACTGATTTAATTTTTGTCCCATGTTCTCCACGATCACCCCGGATTCCCATTTCTTATTACTACCAAATATAGCCCATACTGTCTGCCCTATCTTAAATTCCGCTTCATTCCCGGTGTAGGATTGTGAAATCAATACTCATTGTAGTTTCAATACCGTATTGATATTATCATTGTAGAATCAATACCGTAGTGATATTTTGGTATTGTAGAATCAATACCGTATTGATTTTTAAGAGATGTTTTCATCGCTTCAAATATATCGGCGGCCATTAAAATTGTAAAATATCTATTCATTATATATTTTTCATCGTTTCAAATATATTGGGGGCCATTAAAATTTTAAAATATTTATTATTATATATTTATTCATCGCTTCAAATATATTGGGGGCCATTAAAATTTTAAAATAAATATTATTATATATTTATTCATCGCTTCAAATATATTGGCGGCCATTAAAATATATTTTTTATTATATATATTCTTCATCGCTTCAAATATAATGGCGGCCATTAAAATTATAAAATATTTTTTATTATATATATTTTTCATCGCTTCAAAAATATTGGCGGCCATTTTCGATTTGTAAAAATTTATTTAAAATAGATTTAAATGATTATATAAATGATTTTCTATTCTTTTATATAATTTTTTAAGGGAGTTTATTTATTTTACAATTCTTAATATCCTATATAAATTTTATTTGTTTAATATATACAAGTTTTCTTCATATATCATATTATTGAAATCTCAAGCCTTAAAATTTTAATAGACAAAAGTAAGCTAATCACAAACAAATAAGGGTTTCTATTACGTCAAAGGATCTCAATCACTCACTCTAATCATTTCCTCTTGGCTTCTTAAAATCGTCATTTTATTTATTAGATGTATATATAATTATTGCAGAAAATTTTAAATTAATAAAATGTATACAAATTTACTTCATATATCGTATTATTGGAATCTCAAGCCTTAAAATTTTAATATAAAAAAAGTAAGCTAATCACAAACAAATAAGGTTTTCTATTATGTCAAAGTAGTGTTGTTAAACGGCTCGATTTGAGGCGATTTTTAAAAACGGCTAACTCAATATTTTAGCCAGAAAAATATTGCCTAAGCCTGGAGACTTCGCTAATAGATGTATAAATCTTTATTCTATCTATGACCAAAATCTTCAGTATTGTGTAATATTTTTCTGGCTATAATATTGAGTTAGCCGTTTTAAAAATCGGTTCAAATTGAGCCGTTTAACAACACTATGTCAAAGCATCTCAATCACTATCTATCACTCTGATTAATCATTTCCTCTTGGTCTCTTAAAATCGTCATTTTATTTATTAGATGTATATATAATTATATTTTTAGCTGATTAAAATTTAACACTTATATTTATGGAATACAAAATTTTTTATACAGATATAAAACTAAGTTTAAAATCAAATCTTAATGTTTAAATTATTCTTTAAAACTTAAACAACTATTTTTGTTTGTATATATATATATTTTATTGCAATAATATTAAAACTGGCTGATTTCTTAATACTATTTAAATAAAAAGGATATACATAATTTTATTTCAAAAAAACAAGAAAAATATTATAAAAAGAAAATATATCCAAAAAGGAAACATAATTATCACAAAAAATTGAGTGTATATTACACTATAATACGATTAAAATGATCTGAAGATGCATTTATCAAATATATATTTAAATTAATATTTTTATACAGTCCATTTTTGATAATGCAGAATATGTAATATATTTCATTTCCATTTTTACAATAAATAATAATTGGCGTCTGGAAAATAGCAAATGCTACGATAACTAATTCATACGCCCACGTTCCAAGTTGATGTTTTTTTGTATCAACCAAATGTTTTATTATGTCCTTCCCCATAAAATCAGTAAAAATATCATTATTTTCCAACAGCATCATATATGAGATTATAGATTCCCTTATAATTGCATGGTGATCCTCGCTGCCTGTGATCTCTTTGCTCAAGCAACGATTAGGACATTTTTCCACCCTTTCTATCCGCACGTCATGAGTTCCAGATCAGGACCTGTTGCCCGACTTCATAAGGGATTTTATCCTTTTGCCTTTTTTGATAATCCCTTTTTTGTCTATCTTGGGCTACAATATTTTCTTTTGCCCTTTTCCATACGACTGATAGGCTCATTATTCTTTCTAATAATTCACTCTCTTCAAAGTCATTCTCAATATTATTATTGATTTCCTTAACAATATCTGGCTCAATTTTCGAATTTCTGATGGCAGCTTTGCGTTCCTACCATACATCATATAAAATGGGATGAATCCTGTAGATTTGTGGACACTGGTTTGCATTGCAAATAATACCCCCGGAAGAACCCTAGGCCATAGTGTTTGATCATCACTCAAAACCTTAAACATTAAGTTTTGAATAGTACGAATAATCCTTTCTGTCAACCCATTAGCTTGAGGATGATATGCACTGGAAATGCGTTGCTCCGTCCCTGTCATTTTATGTAATCTCGTGGCCATTTTATTCACAAACTCTCTTGATCATTGATTTGTATCTATATTGTTTAAAATCAAAAGTTTATAAATTATCATAAATGCACATTTTTTTAACCGATATATATTTATATAATTTGATTTACAATTGCGCAGCCATGGCGGCAAATCAGACCATAAATAAATTTACAAGTCTCTTCAGCTGTCTTTGATTTCATAAGTTCTGCCTCAACCCATTTTGTGAAATAATCAGAGGCAATTGCAATACATGTGTAGCCTTCTTCTGAAGTGGGCAGGCTGCAAAGATCAATTTCTATTTGAGCCCATGGAAGAGGTGGTACATCTATTGGATTCAAAGTAGAAGAAATTTTAGAAAATCTTGTATTGGCCTTCTGACATCTATCACATGATTTTATAAAATCAATAGTGTCTTGAAATAATTTTGGCCACCAATATCTATGAACACAAAATTAACACCATAATAAATACCTTTCAGAGTTAAGTTGAGTTTTATTAATGCCAAGGTGGGCACCAATAGCTTTAGATTCTAGGGATATTGGTGAATAATAGATATTACCCTTTGTTTCTCTGCTTCATCCATTATTACTAAAGCTAATAAATAAATAGAAATTATTATTTTGTGATCACATTTATCTTCTTTATTTTTCTATAAAGAATATCTTCTTTAACAATATAATTGTTTGCCGTACATCTAAAATTACTTTTTTTACCTGGATTATTTTTAAGGAGCAAAAGATATTTTCCTGTTACTAGATATTCTTTTATTGTTTGATATTTATCTGTTATTGCTTGATAAAATTTATAATTATAAATCTAAATGTACCAATTTGATTCATTAAAAATTTTATGAGCAGTAGAATATTTTCCTGTTATAAGTATTAGCAATAAAGGATATTTTTGATACCTGCTTGATATAAAATTATAATTATAAATTTAAGTGTACCATCATTAAAAAATTTGTGATATTTTAAAGCAGTAAAGGAAGGATATTTTCTGCCACTAAGTATTAGCAGCAAATGATATTTTTCTGTTACTTATATTCTCCTATTTTGATATTTAATTGTTATTGTTGATATAAATATAAATTTAAATGTACCGATTTCATTCATAAATTTTAGGTTTTATTCTTAAAAGTTGAGGTTCGGTCATAAATTATCAATACGGTATTGATTTTACAATATTGTAGAATCAATACCGTATTGAATTTAGATTAGAGGTCAGCATTGGTCGGGTTTCCTGCCCGCCAGCCCACGCCCGCCCATCTAAGTGGGCGGGGTGGGTGGTCGGGTAAAATTTTTTTAAGAACGAGCAGGCGGGCGGGTTAAAAAATTTTTTAACAATGGGCGGGTAGGCGGGCGGGTTAAGAAATTTAAACAATAAGCGGGCGGGCGGGCGGTTAAAAAAATTAAAAATTTTAATTAATAAAAAATTGTTTTTACGAACTTAAAAAATAATAAAAAAGCCTTTTTCTGGTATAACTTTTTATAAAATAAATCAACTTTTTTCTTCAATTAAAAAAACTTTTTCTACAAATAAAAACAAACTTTTTTCTATAAACAAATTAAAATCTCCTTTTATGGTAATGAAATAAAACTTTTTTCTTATTAGATATTGAAAATTAAAATTTCCTTTTTTGGGAATAATGAAATTACTCCATTGTATTATTTTATTTTAGTAATGATTGTTTATCTTTATATTGCCCTTTTTATTTTCTTATATAATATATAAATTTTATTTTTTATAACATATTTTTAACAAAATAGTATTTTTTAATTTAATTTTAAATTATGAATAAAGAATATATAGCTAAGAAAATAAAAAATAATTTTTATAAGATAAAAAACAATGATAATAATAATAAACTTAAATCGTCAATGTGGAAACAATTTAAAATTATTTTTGATGAAAATGACAAAAAGCTAGATTGGATTCGCTGCAATGATTGCGAGTCCATCTTTAAATATTAAGCAAAAGTGGCACCTCCTTCTTCCTTCGGCATCAATGTTCATCTGCAAATTATGAAGATTTGATAGATAATAAAAAAATAACTGGATATTTTGAAAAAGACAATTCTCAATTAAACAAAACGATAAAATCTGGTCTAATAGCGAATTTTGTAGAATGCGCTAGAGACATTAGGTATTTTAATTTAATAAATTATTCTTTTATCTTTTTTAGACCATTTCAAGCAGTTCAAGGGCCTGGATTTATAAATATTTTAGAAAGATTTGCCGACTTAGGGGCAATATATGGTAAATTGGATGTTAATAAGATCATCCCTTGTGCTACAACAGTTAACCGCAACGTATCCAAAGTTACTGAGGATCTTAAGGAAATAATATTTCCTAAAATTGTAGCAATGATAAAAAATTCCATTTGCTCATGTACTACTGATATGTTGTGTGAATTTACCAAAACCGATTACATATCTCTATCAATCCATTATATACAAAATTTGAAATTAGAAAAAAAATTTCTTTTTATTTCAAAATTTCACGATGAAAAAAAGACGGGAGAAAATATTCTTAAAGAATTATTAAAAAAATTTTTAAAAATTGGTGTTCCCCGAGAATATTTTTCCAAGCTCATCTTTGTTACGGATCAAGGAGCAAATATTAAAAAAGCTTTAGAAGGGTAAATTTTTTATTAAATAAAATTTAATTATTAGGTAGATATTATAATAATTTCTGAGAGATTTTGTATACACCTAAAGAAAAAACATTCATATTTAAAGAACTATATTTTCCTTTTATTTTTTCAAATATTAGGTTTAATAGACTAAACTGTTCAGCACATATGCTGAACACAATACTTCGTAATACCTTCCAGTCAACTTTTATTTTAGAAAATGCTCCCGAGATTAATAATATTTTGTTAACTGCAAAATCATTGACGACTTATTTCAAACAAAGTGGCAACGTAAAATATCTAAGCAAGACGTTACTACAAAATATTGATATAAGATGGAATACAAAGCATTTATATAATGTATGATGAGATTTTTTTTATTCTTACAATCTCGTGATATGACTGAAAAAATGGGATCTATGGGAAAGGAAGATTTAAAAACACTGATAGATTATTTGGAACCATATAAAGATGCAACTAATGCTCTTGAGGGTGATTGCAGGCCTACACTACAGAACGTTATTATATGGTAGGAAAATTAATATTTTGGGATTTATGCCCATTTTTTCTTTATTTATAAAAAAATTAGGTATAATCTTCTACATGAGCATAATGAAATAAATATGAATATAATGGAGAGAAAAACAAAATGCGAAAAAGAAATAGATAATAAATATGAATATAATGGAGAGAAAAACAAAATGTGAAAAAGAAATAGATATAATAAAGAAAAGAGCTAAAAATTTTATAATTTAAAATTCATATGCTCCATAAAGTTTCAACATTTTTAATACAAAAGTTCCGACAAATGAGGATGTTGTCATCGGAAGAAATTAAAGAAGTAAAAAAACATATTGAAAACTTGTTAGATTTGACTTGCACAGAAGAATGTAACATCGACTTAGATGAAAATTTAATTTTACCCATTTCCCCAAAAGCAAAGTGAATCCAATTAAAAGGTATTAATAAATTATAAATTCGTTTAACTACTTATTGAATGTAATATTTGAAATATAGCATCCACATCAAAATTAAACCCCAACAGATGGGAGGATGAGGTTGTTACTGAGGATAGTACCGTATATTATGACATAACAAAATATTAAAATCTTAAAGTAACCATTTTTGATAAGTATAATTTAGCATAATTTTAAGATGCATATATTACAATTAATATAAATTTAAATTACTTTTATAAATTTTTATTTAAAGATTTCAATTGAGGAAGAGGATATACTTCAAAAGGATGTCCTACTTTGGCGGAAACGACAAGAAAAAGATTTGCCAAAGCTATCAAGATTAGCAAGAAAAATATTAGCAATTCCTGCAACTAGTGCTACTTCTGAAAGAGGATTTAGCATTGCCGGAAGGTTTTTAGAACAAAGAAGAACGTGTTTGAATCCCGAAAATGTGGATTCATTATTATTTTTGCATTATAATTACTTATAATATTTATTTTATATTATATTTTATAAATATTTTATTTGATAAAATAAATTATCCATAATTTAAATTGAATATTTTTAAAGCTTAATATAGTAATTTCCTAAATTATAAAACTTATAGAGATGTAATGTTGAAACTATTTTCATTAGATGCTTAAAATAGCGGACTTGGTTAAAATTTTTTTATAAATAATGGGCGGGCGGGTAAAAAATTTCTGACTAATGGACGGGCGGGCAAGAAATTTTAGACTAATGGGGGGGGGGGGGTAAAAATTTTTAGATTAATGGCTGGGGGGTATATTTTTTTGAAAACTATGGGCGGGTTAAAAATATTTTTAAACATTGTGGGCGGGCATATTATCCAAAAACCACCCAATGCAGACCTCTAATTAAGATGGTGTTGTTTTTACAATACTATACCGGCCTCAGACATCTTCTTTCCCTGTCTTGTCGGTTTCAGCGAATCCAACCAAATTCTAGTTCTCCGTCCTAAACACTTCTCCGCTGGCAACGGCTCCTCACCTTTTCTGGCGCTGTTATAGTACGCCAATGCCACCCACATCTCTCCACCTCCATCCTTTGACTTTCTTAACCAGTTCTTGACTACCGCTACCATCCTCTCCGCTTGTCCATTCGAACTGGGATGATATGGAGGCGCTAAAATGTGTTTCGCTCCTCTGTACAAAAGATTTCGAATTGTCTACTAATGAAGGCAGGGCCCCCGTTCGTTACCACTGTCATAGCCACCCCAAATTTGGCCCATAAATTTTTTAATACTTTTATCACGATCTGGGTTGTTAATCCTTTTACTTCCTCATATTCTACCCATTTCGAAAAAGCATTTACCACAAATATATATATTTTATTTTTGAAGTCAAAGAAGTCCAAATGGATACGCTCCCAAGGCTGCGCTGTCTTCGGCCACACACTTTCTTTATCTTTTCGGGGCATCGGAGCCCAAGAATTACATCTAACACAGGTTCGGCTGATATTTTCAATGTCTCGGTTCATTCCCCACCAAACATATTCTCGTCCCCACTGTTTCATTCTTTCCATTCCTTGATGCCCAGCATGAATCATCGCCATTACCGCTTTTCTTAGTTTTGTTGTTAAAACACTCCTATTTCCCCGCACCAAACATTCATCTATTATGGCTAATTCGTTTTGTACATATTTATAGGTCTTGTCTCCCTCTCGCCACGTTTTCTGTCCCTTAAGGCACGCTTTGATCCGTCTCAATTCCTTATCTTTCAAAGTCACCCTTTTGATCTCTTCCCATGTTACCGGCCCGCCTCTAGATACTCCTGCCATGGTCCGCATCAGTCTTTGTTTAATTTCTTCCGCCCGTTCTTGTTCTTTGTCCTCCAAATCCTCACCAGCTCCGCATCTGGATAAAATGTCTAGTAAATAATTTTCCCTCCCTTTTCGATATTTCACTTAGACATCAAAACTGCCTACGAGCAATAACCATCTCTGCAGCCTAGGCGATAGCATTAGTTCCTTGTTATCCTTCCTGAATAGATGCACCAACGGCTTGTGATCGGTGTAAATAATAAATCTGCGCCCGATCAGATATTCACGGCACTTCGATAACCATCTCTGCATCCTAGGCGATAGCATTAATTCCTTGTTATCCTTCCTGGATAGATGCACCAACGAATAATAAATCTGCGCCCGATCAGATATTCACGGCACTTCGTTAACCCGAAAATAACGGCCAATGCTTCTTGCACAATCACTGAATACCTGGTCTCTGCCGCTCTAAAAATTCTTGAGAAAAATAACACTGGCCTTTCTACCTCATCAATAGAATGCAACAACATTTTTATTG